GATGGTATTAAGTATTATTTAATACGTTCATAATTGCGTTTGAGTAGCCAATAATCACTTCAATGATCAATTGACACTTTCAACTTTGTTTTCAATCTGTGTAACGTGTGATTAACTTTGAACAGAACTGAAGAACGAAATAGAAGAGAAATGCGAAACCGATCAGGAATCAATACCCGCGCAATCGGAGTCACAGAACGATATCATGCAGTATCTTCTCTGTTTTTCGTTCGTTACGAACACGCGACAGATATTTAAGGCAGAAGAAAGCGCAGATAATGTGCGTATATTCCACAGTATGAAAGTATTGGGAAATCTATGGATTATTATGGCCCACACAATCTTCTACTCGCCTCATATCACAGGTAGGACATGAAGGGCAGTTTAATTTCCGATTTTTTTTCCCTTCTTCTTCTTCTTCTTTTTTTTTTTTTCTCTCTCTCTTTTAATGAACCGAATCATGTTCACACAGCGAATAAGACGATTGCTTACATATTAAGCGACACTGTACTGGCACAAATTCTGGCCAACGCGACGCTTTCCGTAGACACGTATTTCTTTATAAGTGGTTTCCTGTTGATGTATATATTTTTGAAGGGGCGGTCGAAAGATAAGAAAGTCCCGCTTCTAACAGCAAGGATGAAACAATATGTTGAAATGTTCGTCAAACGATACATTAGGTACAGTATATCAATTAGCGTATTTAATTCGATTCGGCGAGGCTTCTCGATACATAGAAATGGTAATTTCTCTCCATTGACTTCTTAAAGACTTACGCCGGCGTATTTCGTTATTATATTGTTGGCGATATTCTATTTCACGTGGCATGATCAAATCTCAATGATTCTTCCCATGGAACGAGTAAATCTTGTATGCTCGAAATATTGGTGGGCCAATATATTTTATATCAATAACTTATACCACTGGGACAATATAGTACGTATAATTTTATTAAATAATTACATTGTTAAAAATGAAAAATTCTTCACACGGGAAAGGTGATGTTTTCAGTGTCTCACCTGGAGTTGGTACCTGCCCAATGACATGCAGTTTTTCTTGTTCGGTAGTTTCCTTCTCCTCTTATCGGACACGTGAGTTTACAATATTTGGCTTTTCTCGATCGTCTAATATCTAGTTTTATCTCATCGCTAAATTTAGTCGATTATTTCAGGCATTGTAATACTGCCGCAAGCATAGGCGTCGTTGCAATATTTTCATCGTTGGGATCAATCCTTTACTTTTCATACACTTTGAATTTTGACCTTACGTAAGCATACAAAATGAATTTAACATTATTTATACCATAGGATGTTTAAATATACATATATATATACATATATATATATATATATATATTTACTTTCCTAGGTTGAATAAACAATATGAAACGCTGTCAGATCTTTACATACGACCATGGCTTAGGATAACACCATACATCGTAGGAATGATCACAAGTTACCTTCTCACAAAGTGGAATTACAAGTTACATTTATCAAAAGTAATAAATCCATTATACCTAACGTGTATCTGCGTATCTTCGAACAATACGACTGAACTTTTGTTCTAGAAAAGTTTAATCATTGGTTGGACATTGGCAATTTTATGTAACTGTTCGATTCTATTCGGCCTGGCAAACAAGGATATACCTTTCAGTCTATCCGTTATTTATTCAACTTTAAGCAGAACAGGCTGGTCTATTGGTATTGCGTGGCTTGTAATTGCATGCTGCACGAACCACGGCGGTAAACTATTTACAATATGTTTTGAATTGCTTATTACAATACGATAATGTTATCATACATTTTGTAAAAATATTACTTTTTTTTAAATACATTATTTATCATTAATATTAATATTAATATTAACATTACATTAATATGATTTTTTTTTAGTTTGATATATTATATTCAGATATATATCTTTCATGATTGCAGGTATTGTGTGCAAAATCCTGAGTTTAGATTTTTTCGTTCCTCTGAGTAGATTAACGTATTGTGCTTATCTCGTGAACCCTCTTGTGATATTAGGAATTTGTTCATCATATAATTTCCCTGCTTTCATTGATTATTACAATCTAGTAAGTATAATAAAATAATATTATTGGGGCAATATTTTAACTTTATATGAATACGATGTAATTTGCTTTTTCTTTCTTTTCAGGCTGCTTTCTTTTTAACAACGAGTATTATATCTTACATAATTGCTTTTCTAGTATCCGCAACGACAGAAGTGCCATTTATAAAACTTCTCCGATTATACAATAACCGGCAAAAGAGAATGAAATGAGTGATAAATATCTTTAAATCTTTTAATTAATAAATTAATGGAAAAAAAAAATCACTTTTTCGTGTACATGTGCGCACTCGAAATTTCGAAATATTCTATTTCACGATATTCTTCTTCGATTTATTGTTTGAGAAAACAATTCATATTTTTATCTAATATTTCGCAATACCTGGGAATAAGGATCAAGCCATAAAATCATTTGCGCAAAAATTGTAAACGTTTTTCTTTTTTTCCTTTATCAACGAGCATTTTGTACATAACGAAATGGTTTGCACGACGAAAGAAGAAGCTTATATACAAATAACTACAAATCACTAAAAGATAATAACAAATCTTTGCCGTGCTATGAATGAACTGGGGAATGTATCCTAGGGGGTGCCGGCGATGTCATGGATCGACTTGCGCGACTGGCCTGTTCACGGCGGCCTTCCTCCAGTTGTTTCTCGAGTTGTTCCTTTAAGACTAGCAATTCTCTTGTTCGTTGATAAACAGGATCCTTAGAAAGCACAGTAAAAGAAAAGGCTTAAACAATAATTCAAATTTGTATGTAAAAATTAAATAACGCTAGAGCGTTTGTATACCTGCTGTCGCATACTGGGATTCCATCTACAATACAAACTTTTCCAAGGTTTAATATATCTCATACTAGCGATTGGCATTAGAACAAGCTGATAATTGGGAGCAGCCCAGTACAAAGGATTTTGATACAACGACAACTGGCTATTCGTGTACGACCATAACGAAACAGTCTTGTGTTTCACTTGTTCTTGAACTCTTTCGCGTTCGCTGTAGACGTATTTATAGACAATGATTATGATAGACATATCTAATCTACCGAAAATGTTTAACATACCTGCTGAATAAAAATGTGCCAAATCTACAAGAGTATAAATGATCGAGTATAATGATTAGAAAGTGTTCGTTAAACTCGAATGCATTGGGAAACTGACGACTTATTTGCCACACACAATCCATGAACTGCAAAAATACTGGAGATCTATCCGCATCGCTGTGATGTTCATCTCCATGACCGATCCTCTAAAATACATTATTAAGATTGTAACGCTTTGATTCGTAATACCTAATTTGGCCACATATCATTAAATACCTGTTGAAACTTATGACCAAAACTAAGCCATTCTTTTTCTATAAGCACTTCAAAACCTTTGATGGTTCTGTAATACGGATCTAACATTAACATGGCAAGAGCTGTGAGCTGTAAACAGTTATGAATATTAAAAGTACATTATGGTTAAAATACGCTTCGTTACTTTTTAATTACCTGCGCTGTTCTATCCCAACCATCTGAACAATGCACTAGCACCGAAGTTTTATGGTTTTCAACTTTATCTACAATTCGTAATGCACCCGCAAGTACGTACTTTATGTGTTTCAACCAAACGGTAGATTCTATTCCCGATAACCATCTAGCCTCGTCAATTGTTGGAAAACATAACTCTAAGAGGTTGGAAAACGTAACTAATATCGATAATAGTTTCTTATTGCCAGCCTAATAGGATCATTAGTGACGCAAACTAACGTACCTTTTAATTTTCTAAGACTTTCTCTCATTACGTGTATATTATGAATATCAAGAAATACGAGCTCCGCATTTTGATAAGCGTCCTCGCTCTCGTAACCACCGCCTTTGGCTTTGTTCGCCACTGCGTTAGGCATTGGTCTAGCGTCCATGATAAAAAGTTTATGACTTTGTGCATTGGCGTCCATTATCAACTGAACGTATCGCTCGTCTTCGCGGCTACGTTTGCCACCAACGCCTACTAATGGCTGAGCGCAACGAGTTATGGTTGCTTGACTTTCTGGATGGATCCACGACAATACGGGAAGTCTTCCTCTACTTCGAAAGGCTGCCGATGCTTGTAGATCTTCATCGGTTGCTGCCGCAGGCACTGCCCATACGGCTGGATAACTATCACATATCGAATATGTATCGTTGATCTTCGATATCTTCCACATGTCATTGTTTACTCCCTGGAAATAATAATTAAAAATAATAATAATTTTCTGGTTATTAAATAAGTTGTAATATACAATATCTTTTACCATTCGTTTTAATTCAGCTATAGGCTCGTAAACATTCCAACCATTTTCAGCGAATGTTTCGGAATATTCGAACGCGAAAAGGGGTAATTTATGAGATAGAGGAAACGAATACTGTTGAAGTTTCTCAAAAACATCTCTTCTGGAATGATTTTCCTGTTTATGCGCGAATCTGAGATTTCGCATATCTTTACAAAACACTTCGATACCATAAGAATTTTCGCCTTTGCTAGACGCACCACCGACTTTCTCGATTCTGCTAACAACTCCTAATGGTACTTCGACAACATAAGGTGTTTCGCGGTCTACACTCCGAAAATGGAGCTTGTAATTTGTAATACTAAGAATTCCTCTGACCGGTCCTGAATAAGGACATACATAAGTTACTTCGTGAGCAATGCCTTGTACACGTTCTCCATTTAAAAGAGGTGGACCTGTTTCTCCAGCAGATAAATTCTGTAAAGAGAGAACAGTTATGTCGACAGGACAAAAATTAAATAATAAAATAAGCATCTATCTGCTACTTTAGCTAGACATTTGAATAATATATACACTGAAAGAAGTAAAAGTGATGAAACAGAATTTCTCAACAAAGGAAAATAAAACGTACCAAATGAATGAAATCAAAATATATGTTGTCTGGAAAAGAAAAACAAGTTCTGACAATATGCAAATGGTTAAGAAATTAAAGAAATTATTAACTCTATTCATCTACACAGAACTCACTTTTACTTGATTGTCTTTTCTAGCTTCTAAAGCAGAGACAATATTATTATCTGTCGAAGTAGAACTCGAAGAAAAACTTTTGGAATGTGACGCTTTATCCCAGCTTTCCTAAAGAAGTTTAATGCTTACGTACATTTAGATACGATTATTTTTAAATCAATATCCTATGCTATTAATTAAACCAAGGTATATTACCGATTCTTGGCCCATTTTGGAATTAAGAGAGCTACTCTTGCTATCTGAATTGAGAGAATCAGAGCTGGCATTTTTGGAATTGTTTTGCTCGATATTCAAAAGTTCAGCACTACCTCTCTTCTCCATGTTTCCAAATTCAATTTTCTTATACTTTCACATTTAGTAAATAATTCATTACATAATTCCACCTATTACATTTTTGAAGCTAACACCTTTAAAGATAAAATATTTAATCTATTATGTACTTATTGGACTTACTGTTTAATATTTTTATATATATCAACAAAATAAATGAGAATAATAATAAATATGTAAAAAAATATTTATTACAAGAGCAATTAGAAAAAGTTGAATCCTCGCAAATTGATAAACCGCGTAACGTGTATAAATCAAAGAATAATATATAAAATACGCACATTTTCAAAATTCTAAATTACTTAACCTCAAAATCTCGGAAACTTCACGTTATAATACAAATTTGCTCTAAATATGAATTTCTGCACACATAATTACGTAAAGATGACAACTGAATATATAATATATAAATTTTAAATAGAAAATAAATTCTGGTAATGTTATAAACAAAATTTTGTATATTTTATGCCACGCCCAGAGGTATTACACTTGTAATTTTTTGACACAACAGTGCATGTTGATCATAGTATTTTTCATACGTAAACAATAATCCAAAATACCAACCTCGTTCACAAAATATTATATAAAGTATTTTATTATATTCAATCTTTTTTACTGCAACTTGTGTTTGACAGATTTACTTCACGGTTTGGAAACTTAAACAGAAACGCTTGAGAATTTAATGTAGTTCGCGGTACGGCCATTTTAGCGCTGATGACAGCATTGTTGGTCAAGTCGAAAACGATATTAACAGCTGTTGTCAAATATACTCATCACCACAGCCACAGACGAGGTCACAGATGACTGTGACGAGGTGTATGAATATAGGAATAATCTCAGCGAGGTACCTCGTCTGTGGAATAGCAAAGGGAAGTAAAGGGGAATAAAGTGTAGGAGTAAAAAATAGAATAAAGTGCGGTAGAGTGGAGTAAAGGAGAGTAAAGGAAAATAAAGAGGAGTAAAGAGGAATAAACGGGAGTAAAGAGAAATAAAGGGAAATAAAATAAAGTAAAGAGAAGTAAAGTGGAGTAAAGTGAAATAAAGTAGAATAAAGTAGAATAATTTTAGACTTACATTACTGACTAAATAGATACTGAGGCGGATGTAGCATCGAGAATTTAATTGTGGGTTTAGCTTGTAGTTTTAGTTCTAGGCTTAGTTCGTAATTTAATTGTAAGCAAGAGATCAAAGGGCTAGATGTTCCGTTATACGGAACCAAATACATGATCGGTTTATAATATATTATATGGAATCAAATACACGGTCGATTTTGCGCCACAATGAACACCACTAGAATTTTTATTTTATTCTAAACAATCGTTTGAAATTGTCCATCCGAGACTTCAACAGGGACGAAGGTTCTTTGGAAGAAAAAATTTTACTGAAAAATTAGAACATCTTTCTAATTGCAGCGAAAGATTATCTTTAATTTCGAAAGTCCATTTATGCGAATACATTGCACAAGACCATTCATTTTCAAAATCGAACATATTATTCAATGTTAATTTGACGGACAATCGTCATAGCGAAACAAATATTTTAATTCACATCGAATTATAAATACCAAAAGTTGAAAAAAAGTCCAAACTCGATAATATGGAAAGGCATACGTATGAAAAAGAATAGACGTCGAGCATGTAGAGTGAGAGAATGCGAGTACAGGAAGTGTATGATAGATTTTTTAGAGTTGTCTAATTTGGGAATACGCGATGAGGATAATAATGTCGGAGCGATGACGCGAAAAGTAGACTGGTAATCAAATAGATTAGTAGCGTGTAGAGAAATTTTTTGCAGTGTCGGCTTTATATAAGGCCGATTCTTTTTATGCCCTTCCCAATCATGTGATTTTCGACCGAAATGTGTCTTTGGGCAAAGTAATTTTCGCAATTATTTTATGAGTCTAACGGTATGAGTCCCTCACATTACATTTATACGTTGGGTACCTGACTGTAGGATGGACCAAAACTAGAGGAAAATTGGTCCCCTACATTTAGTCGTTGTAAAGTCTTTACATAGTCGAAGTTATTTTGAGTTGCCAATTGATAAAATTAGTTGCACAATTGTGATTGTATAAATCACACGCAATACCATTAATCCCATACCTCATCTATAAATATATGTATATCGTATCGTATCATACACTTTACAGTATTATATAAGTAAATAGCTCTCCAACGTACATCGTCGTATTAGTAACATCTCTTTCGACAGAATTTAATATATATTGCACCGAAAATTTTTTATTAATATTTCGACAAATAATAAAAACTCGAGGCTAAAATTTGATATCTGAGATCCTCCCCCCTCCCCCTCTCTTCAAAATTTCAATCGAGAAATCTCACATTGTTATTTTTTATCTCTCTGCCCAATTCTGCGTAAATATTGAGACCTGTCAGTCGGCAATACCAAATGCTTTCGTTCGTCTCAAAACCAATTCCCGTATCTAAGGTTCGTTCCGGAAACGAGATTCGACCAAACGAGAGAGAAATATTTATATTTAATTTCCAAACATGTATTTCATAGCATATCTGCAGATATCAGATACAACTATCTTCTCTGAAAGCTGTCTTATCCGATCTCGAAGCCATTTTCGTTTATACTTGAGCTTCTATATCAACATCAATTGTCTCCCGAATATACGTATATACTTACTGTGCTGAGATAAGGAAAAGTCCCTCGGAAGGAATATGGTTTGATAGATCATAGAATGCAATTCTTAAATATAATAATACCTATTAGCCAAGAATATCACAGGCTAGACAACTGGAAATGTCGGTGAATGAAAGAGACGATTTTGTCCCTCCTTTTGTCCCTCTGTCATCCCTCCTTGAAACTTCTTTCCATCTCTTGTACTTCTTATATTTTCCACAATGCACTTCATTAAAAATTACAATATAAATGAATATAATGTGAAATTTAATACATACGTAATTAATTCGAGCACCAACTTTCAAGCATTGTACGTTGAGAGCTTAAAAAGTTATAAAATCAATTTCTAATAATAAAATATTTTTTTATCTTCGAAAGTATTTTATTTAAAAAATTGGAAAATAACAATTGATTTGTAATTTTTAGATAGTAAAAGTAATTATTATTTAATTTCCGTATAATAAATAAGACCAAAGAAAGATCATATTCGTTCAATTAATAGTTTAAAAAAATGAAAAATTGCTTATGCAGTGCAATAGAAACGAAAAACATTAAGATCATAACGTATCATTATTAGTTAAAGGTCTTACATAAAATTATCGTAAAATATTCTGTTTTATGCCTTATTTCATAGGAAAATTTAGTTTTAATTCAAACTATTACATTGTTCATATTTTATTTTATAATTGTAATTCCTATCGCCAATAGCGCTACAATGCAATAACTGCCTAAATCGATACGGCGAAACGTGACGGAAATGTTAAGATCAGGTGACTGCCAAAATCTAAGATATAGTGGGACATGAAAAACATTTAGATATTTGATTTATCTTAATTAGTCAATGCTATGACACATTCACTATTTGATTAACAATCGTTTTGCTTGGTCTAGTTCTCCATTTCACCATCTTTTAAGAATGCTCTAAGAAGCCAATGATCTTTTATCATGTCAATTTCAAAGCACATCTCGTATGTGATCAATATACTAAAAGGATCAGATAGGATACAAAAAACAATCCAAAACATAGAACACAAAAAAGCAATGTATGTTATGTAGATGTATTCTGTCCTTAGTCAATGATAATACAATTAAGAAAGTTAAGCTTCTTATTTTGTATTTTTCAATATTGGTTTTAGTCACATACTTTATGTACTATTTACTAACCACTACTTATGAAAGTACATAAAATATATCAATTCTACACAAAATTGTTCCCGGATTAAATCGCAATTGCAACTCAATGTCTATAGATTTTTAAATTAACTTCCACAGAGTATTTTTACTTTTTAAATCAAAAAGTAGAAATTACATTATACTTCAGATAAATTTGAACGTTTAAACGCAACTCCATTTAATGGGGACGCTACAACACCTTTTACTAAAGAAAAAATATGTAAAATCAAATTTTTGAAATTACCAGTTAAAATGTATTTGAATGTAATCGAATGTAAAAGTTGTATGCATACCTGTTATCTAAATCTGAGTTTTTAAATTGAAATTTGAGCCAAATTAATACTGCATCACGTTGATAGTGTAAACAAGATTTTCATACACGAGATATTCATGTTGTAACATAAATATCTTTAGATTTTGTAGCACAGGGGTTTCAGGATAATGAAATCTTGTTAGTCAAGTGTTAAATCAGATTACACATGAACTGCTTGCCAATAGTTTTAAAGAATCAAAAATCTTACTTTACATCTTACACACAAATTTATAAATCAACCAACATTTCATTTTTCTTTTTTTTTTTTATGTACTCAATAAATAAGTTTCTAAGGTTTTACAGAAACAAACCACATTATATGTAATTAGTAGTAGTTCTTGATCTGTTTAAACATACATATTAAAATATACTTCAAGTTTTCTCAAAGGATGCTAAAATCTTACGAATAAGTTCTACATGAATTCTTGGGGAAAAGTTACGAATTTATTTATTAAAAAAAAAAAAAAAAAATTGCTCAACGGAACAAAATATAATTATCAGAGTTTGACGATGATGCAGCGATTTCGAATAGTGTATTTCACAATATAGAGCATATTTGTAACATGAAATATAAAACTCTCATCATCAACTATATATATCGTTAACTTTGAACATGGTCAACATATAAATATACAATCATTACGTTAAGTTAAATGTATCCATACAATACATACAGTGAATCTATACACGATATAAGAGCCTACATTTGTTATTTTTTTTCTTCTATATTTTGCTCTTTTTTCTGTCAATTTAGATACATATATAAATGCATACACATGTATATGCGATGTATATATATCTCGGAATATGTCGCTAATACACAATTATACAAAACGCTGTAGCGAAATTCGCGCTCGCGTGTATGGTTCTTTTATATATATATATATATTTTTTTTTTATTTTGTTTCTTTTTTCTTATAGAAATTTACATTTACCAATAGCACGTAAACACGCTACCGATTAAAAAAGAAAATGAAACAAGGATGAACGAAAATATATGTGTGTATATATGTGTGTATATATAATATAAACATATATATACATCGAAAAAGTTTCATTTACATGAATTACAAAGAACGGAGTATTGGTTTAACGGATAATGTGTCTCTTTCTCTTTCTCTTTCTCTCTCTCTCTCTCTCTCTCTCTCTCTCGTGCGCGCGCTCTCCCGTCTTTCTCAATTTTTTCCATGACACTTAGATTGCTACTTATTACAACATTTTGGCACTTATAATAAACAATTTTATATACTATAGAAGAATTTATGCAGAAATGATGCTATTCCTTGTTTATTTCCTTCCTTAAATGGATTGCTGAATCATTTAGGCCAACACTGAAATATTATCACTCGTGCTGTTTTTTTTTTTTTTTTTTTTTTTTAAATCTATTGGGTGGTTCCTGTTTGCTCAACATTCACCAATTACAACGAAAAAATATGTACGATATCATTAGGAACATGTAGAGAAACATCCGTAGTATATCCTCCGTCTGTTGGTCAGTCTCTAGCCTCGACAGGCTCTCTCTCCTTCTTTACTGTTCATGCGAATAAATTTTTTTCTCAACAAGAGAAACCCGAGAGATCTCTATTGAGTCCT